CATCTGAATTCCTTCCGACAGTGGGTCCCGGACCTTTGGGTCCCGGACCCCCGGAACGCCTGCATCAAAATGATACAGGACTTGGAATTTGGAAGCATCACTAGTGTAAAGAGGAAGGCAGAGCAGAGAACAAAGCTTATCCTTTGTGAAAGGGAGCTATTCTGGAACAAAGCAGACAATTGTTTTTGCTGAAATTGGCACAGAGGCCCATTCATTCAACACACGCTGGGTGCCTGTGACCCGCGGGCACTGCTCTAGGTACGAGGGACACAGAAAACAAAGATGACAAACACACAGCAAATGGAAAGCACCTGCCTCGTGGCGCTGACGTGGTAACAGAACAGTGGCCCTAAACCGTGGCTGCGTGAGCGGCACCGGAGGGACCTGTTCCAACACAGATTGCAGACCCCCCACGGCCCCCGCCTAGTTTCAGACCCAGGAGGTCTGGGCGGGGCTGGGAATCTGTGGTGTTCACACAGCTGGTCTGTGGGCGACCCTTCGAGCAGCCCCGCTGGCGGAGCGTCTGCGTACGCCTCATGCCTGTCACCGCAGGTAGAACGGATCATGTGTGCATGTGTGATCCAGCCCAAGCTGTCCAGTCCCCAGCCCGAGCCATCCTGGGGGAGTGGGCACATCGGGACAAGGACTGCCCTGTTCTGCTCACACGGCGAACGCCAGGTCCCGGGCTAGGCGTTCCGCAAGCGTCATTTCATTAAATCTCTTTCATGCCACGATCCCATATCACAGATGAGGAAAGCAGGCCCTCGAGAGGGTAATTCACTTAGTGACTACTACAGCGAGTGTACCTGTCAGGTCCTCCAGACAGAGGGAACTGACAGGATACACATGTGCCTATATAAAGCATACGGATTTATGTACGGAATTGGCTCGTGGGATTGTGGGACTGGCAGGTGCAAAGGTGGTGAGGCAGACCAGCAGGCTGGACGTCAGGCAGTTTCTGTGGTGCAGTCTTGAGGCAGAATTCCCTCCTCTCTGGGAAACCTCAGTCTTTGCTCTTAAGGCCTTCGACTGATTGGGTGAGGCCCACCCCCGGATGAGTAATCGCCTTACTTAAAGTCAGCCAATTGTGGATGTTGACCGCATCTTCCAAATTCCATCCCAGCAACACCTGGACTGGTGTTTACCAAGACAGCCGAGCAACACAGCCTAGCCAGGTTGACAGAAAAATGTACCCATCACAGCTGGTCAGGGCCGAAACTCATGTTCAAGACCTGATCTGCGTGACTTCCAAAGCATCCGCCTTGGATTCCTCGCAGGGCACGGCGGGGAGATAAGAGACGGGCAGCTGGTCCTGCTGAAGGAATGAAATGTGGGCCTGGAGGACAGCAGTGGTCCGCGTAGGCGCTGTGCCCCCCCTCGCACTGGGCAACTGCTCCGTTGGCTAGGAGGTGCTTGGGTAGAGTGGGGAACCGTTTCCCCACAGAGTCTACACACCCCACGTGGGTGACAATGTGTACAACCCCCCCCCCCATTTTAATCAGTGAGTGACGGATTTAGAGCTTCCAGGACCCAGCCCTTCTTTGCTCAGAAATGCTGCCCCTATGGAAACAGTCCTTGTTTCTCTGTTGTCATTAGAAAACGGTAAACACTCCTCTTTCCCCAGGTCACGTCTTGCAAAGCATAGAATTTCCCTTAAGGATTTAGCGCCATCTGGTGAAGGAGAGGCGCTCAGCAGACGCGTCCCCTCTTCCTGCTGAGATGCAGAGGTTGGTGGCGTGTTCCCCGGGGGGAGAGGTCTCAGGGTGTGCGTGTGTGTGTGCGTGTGTGCGCGCGCGTGTTCATTTATCTCTCAGTGTTGTCTTTCACTCTCTCTCTATAATGCCCGGCATTTGCAGCATTCAGCCCTAAAACCAGGCCGACCCCAGAGTTTTACGGTTCTGAGTACTTCACGCTTATAAAAAGCTTCGCAGACGTCTCCCTGTTTAGAGCTCGGCCGCTCAGTGGGCCTCACTGACCCCTTGTGGCAGGTGAGGGAAGCGCTGTGAGCACTGTGACTGGGGGGCGGGTAATGAAGGAATCACAGCCACTCGGGACACCAGCCCTGCTCCGCGGCCCCCCCCCCAGCCAGCCGCCCAAGTGCCTGGCCTCGTCTCTGGCACTTCCTCAGCTCCCTTCCACTGAATGACAAGCGAGGACGCACCTGTATTTACTGGAGATCATCACAGTCGTTTGTCTGCACGTCCGCTAAGTCGAGGGCTTAAGCGAGGGGCATCAATAAAGCTGTCTTACTTAAACCACCAAGTGATTCAGGGACTACACTCCCAAATAACCGGGCTCCTAGACCCCCGGCAGTAATAAAGGCCCCTGTCTCCAATTCTGGGGCCGCACTTTTGTGCCACAGCAGCAAAGGGCTGGGAGACCACTGGGATGAGATGCAGAGGCAGGTGTGTCCCGGAATCGAGGCTCCCGCGCCCCGGGTCCCCTCCTCCCCGAGGGCGCACGTCCCCCAGCCTCTCCTCACAGACGGCAGCGGTCAGGGTGGGGTCGCTGCTAAGGGGCCATCCGCTGGAGATTCTTAACCTTGGCTTTCATTGGCGCCAGCCCGGCCTTCCCCTCGGGCGGTCTTTGCCTCCATTCCTTCACCGCGGAACACCTCTGCTGAGACGCCCAGAATGAACTTGTCCCCGGTCCCTGAAAATACCGCGTCTGTGCCTGCGTGCCCCCTTCAGGTGCGTGGCACCCCCCCCCACCCCAGTTAGAAATTCCAGCATCGACCTTAACTCGTCACTTCTCTCATCCTGCCTTCTAATCGTTGGCAGGCCTGTGGCTCCCACCTCAAACCCAGGGCCTCTCTGCATCCCTGCTGCACCCCCCTCCCACCGCTTCCAGGGACAGAAGACTTTTCCAGGTTCCTTGGTTGATTTGCTCTGTTTTCAAATAAGAAAAATCAGAGGCTGGCCCAGTGACCAGAGCTCGGGGCAGGGAAAGCTGTATGGCAGGGAGGTCTTGTTGCAGGGCCATCTCTCCTTGAATTCCCCCTGGCTAGCCCTCTCCTGAATCAACTATTCCTCCTCTGAACTCCCAGCATATTGATTGGTTGTGGCATCTAGTAAAGTAACATACACCTCACGAGATCAGGGACTTTACCCCCAGAGCCTACAACAGACCGAGCCTATCAGAGGTGTTTAGCGCATATTTCTCGAATGAATAAGAGGATGTCTTTTCTTTATAGATGCCACCATCACTCAGCAAACATCTGTTAAATGTCTACGTGCCAGATGCCGTCTTGGGGTCTTGGGCCGGGGGATGCAGGGAGGGACAGAAATTCCTGCCTCTGCACCGGTGTCCCTGCAGCGCCCTCTGCTGGAAGGCTCTTTATTGCCCCCATTTCACTGTCCTCTTGACAAACTGACCCACCTTCCATGACTTTTCCAGGAAAGCATTATGCAAAGGGGCATATCTTCTAAATTCGGTTTAGCACAATCCCATCATTGTCTGCTCCCTGCAGCCTCCCCTATGGCTCTCCTGTGAGCCTCTGAAGAGAAATACATGTATCTGCATTTTTTTTCCCCCCCAGCAGGATGACTGGCCTACACAGACACTCGATTTAATTCTGCCAGTTGATGGTGACTGCAGACGCAGGCCCCTTGGTTACTGGTCATCTATGCTCAAGGCCAGCTCGAACTTCCCCCCATTTTTCCCAGTTGAACATGAAGGCTTTAGTGACTTAAAAAAAAAAATTGGGGCGACCTCAATCTTTAGTACCAAGGTTGGTTGGTTCCTCTTGAATGGGGAATGAAGGAGACTACTGGTGGGCAGGGCACCTGGACAGCTGTATGTTAAACAATGCTCTTCTTTACCTTACTGCTGCTGTTTTAAAATGAATAGGTGTTGGGGTATCACTCCTGGAAGCCTGTGTCCATGGTTGGGATCCTAAAAGCGTATGGATTTAAGTTGCATGCAAGACCAGATCTATTTCTCAGAGCCTCAGGCTCTACCCTCTGGGCTACAGTGATGCCGAGGCAAGGGCGGGGTGGTCTCAAGGTCATTGTTATTCCTGAGGTCAGTCCCCGGTAAGCTCCCATCTGAATGCTCCGGGGCTAAAATAAAATCAACCGAAAGAGCTTTCGCTGCTTCTGCTATAGGAATGGCAGTTCAGGGCTAAATATGCCAGTATGCTCGTGGCCGACATTTAGGAGCTGGTGAGAAGACCTGAATTCACTAATTATGTTTATTTAATTAAGCTAATACTGAGCAAATACGTCCGCAGAATACTTACAGGGATGGACTTTTTGCTCTGACTTCACAGCATTCAGGTATTTAAAATTCTCTACTGTGAAATTAAAACGTTCTGGAGTTTCCACGTTGATTTATGAGGCTCCTGTCAACAGAATGACTAAAGGACTTATCTGGGTAGATGTGGTGTTTAAACCCTTGTTAACATCTGTATCGGGGGAAATAATGCGCACATTCATCAACTGTGCCGAGGGTTCGAGTCCTTCTCCCGAAGGCCTGGCTGATCATAATTCATAAATAAAAAGAGAATGCGCTTGCGTTTCCCTGAGCCTGAAACAGCACACGGGAGAGCGAGGCTCGGTAAACAACGTTCTGAACAACCTGGTCGAGACTGAACACAAGGTAGCTGGGTCACGACATTGCTCCCGTAATACTCCCGTCATTTCATCCATGGAGTGCATTCCCCCCGAAGGTTCTAAGCAGGGACACTTTTGAGAAAAAATAAAGTATGGGCTTGGTATTGATTTCTCTGACGTCGAGGCTGTCACACTGCATCGCCTCTCCTCTCCAGGCGCCCCCGGCCGCTGTGCCTCGCCCCCCGGTTCCACGTGCCCCATGGACGGACCCAGGCCCCTCCGCACCGGCGCCTGCAGCTCCACCCGAGGGGGCCTCGCTCTGGAAGGGGCAGGACGGCCGGGCACCCACAGCCCCGCTCCCAGGGCTGCCGGCTCCCAGCTCTGATGGCCCCGGGGAAAGCTCCTCTCTCCCACCCCATCCTGAGCCCGAGGGAGGAGGGCGCTTACCTGGGCGGCGGCTCCCGGGGCGGCCAGGGCGCTGCACTCCCCTTCGTGGAAGGCGTCCTTGCAGTCCCGGCAGAAGACGAGCTGCGGGGGAGCACACGGTGGGTTAGAGGGGCTCCCGCAACAAGGGGCCATCGCAGGGCTGCTCTTTTCTAAGCTCATCCCCTCCACACCTCTGACTCGCGGGACGGTTTCTGTGTGAGGTCACTTTTTTGCAAAGAGACATGAAGCTCTATTTCCATTTAGATGGGACCCAAGTTGGCTCTTTCCTAGAGAATGTCCCAGGCACTATAGTCGGGCTTTACAGTTGGAGTCGCATTTCCTGCCCTCAAGGACACAGCAGGCAAATAAATACCTGTCCTCGAGTGTCACTGGTGTTAGAAGGCGAGAGAGACAGTCTCACTCAGGAGTTTCACAGCTACTATTGTTCACACACACAGAGGGCTTACGCGTTCACGTGAACGGACGTGGCTTTGTATCGAAAGCCTGGTACGGAGTCAAGAAACGGGCTGAGCCGCATCCCTCACAAATTCAAACGTTGACGTCTTTCCCCCCCTCAAAATACAAAACTTTGTTTTTCATTGAGATGGAGTCGACGTGCAAAACCACGCGCGTTTCAGGCGTACAACCTAATATTTCCATATTTGTATATATTACAAAGTGAGCGTCACCATGTCTCGTTGACACCTGTCACTAGGCGTAGTTGTGGATTTTTATCCTGTGATGAGAACTTTTAAGATCTGTTATCTTAGCTGATTTCAAATATGCAAGTCTGTATCTGTTGACTCTTTTCACCCATTTTTGCCCCCCCCCCGCCCCCCGGCAACCACCGATCTGTTCTCTGTACCCATGAGCCTGGCTGGTTTGTTTGCTTGTGGCTGCCACGTATAAGTAAGAGCGTGTGCTATTCTTTCCCTCTGTCTGACTTATTCCCCGAGCATAACGCCCTCAAGGTCCACCCACGTTGTCACAAACGGCAAGACTTCACTCGTTTTTATGGCTGAATAACATCCCATTATATACGTCACGCCTTCTTCACCCATCCGTCCATCCATGGACACGGAGGCTGTTTCCAGTGGCCGTGGGAGTCACCGGGTTGGCGTCCCTGCTTCCTTCAGAGACATGACGCCCAGGAGTGGAATCGCCGGGTCACGGGGTAGTTCTGTTTGAGCTTTTTGTGAAACCTCCATAATGTTTTCCACAGTGGCTGCACCAGTTGACATTCCCACCAGCCCCCGGGGCAGAGGGTCCCCTTTCTCCGCACCCTCGCCAGCGCTTGCTGTTTTTTGTCTATTTGATGAGAACCGTTGGAACCGCCGTGGGGGGTGATGTCTCACGGTGGCTGGAATTCATTTTCCCACCACTGTCTGGAATCACCGGACAACCTCCGGAGTGTCCTTCAGCGTCACCGGCCAGGCTCTAGAGGCCACTGTCTGACCCAGGGGATTAGACACCTGCCAACCGAGACACCCCGGGAGAGAAAGACCCTCGGTGCCCGTGCCTCAGTTTCTCCCTCTGAAGAACCAGGATAATGCTCTTTACTTCCCGTGAGCAGCGGGGAGGCAGGTGAGATGGCCGCGCAGGCTGGCGACCCCCGG